CCCCAAAACCCCAAAACCCCAAAACCCCAAAACCCCAAAACGTAGAATTTAGAGTAAGGTGATTTATTATCAAATAATTATCAAAATTATAAGTAAATAGCTTTAATAATTTGAATATGTTGAGGAAAATAGTGTAGTCAGCTAAGAGGAAATCTTATCAAGACCAGGAGGATGAACGAAATCAATACGTCAACCATTCAAGTTCCCCTGGGGACGAATTTACCTTCGCTGCTGAAGACCCTAAATTCTACTAGAGGCCAGAGTTCAATCTAGTTATGCTTATAGTCTCACTTATCACTGCCAACGCTCTTTATTAATACGTTGCATTGCAAACATGTGAGTACGACGGACTATATGAATGCATAGATAAATTCCTATTGCCCAATCTAGCAGAATGTCTTATCCTTACTGGTATTTCAGCCTTAATTTTCACTGCAGTTTTATATGTAAACTTATCTTGCAAGAACAAGACTAAGCTGACTATTTTGGTATTAGTCCTTGTCAATATCTTTCTGATGTCTATTACAAACACTACTATCGCTAAGAACAAGTTTGGTGGCATGTATGGAGTTGCCTTCATTCTCTATGTGATCATCTTCACCATAATTTTGTCAATTAGGAGGTGTATACTTTCAATTAAGCCCTATATGAATCTGAGAAGATTGCTTGTGCTTAGCTTTATAGTGCTGCTCTATTTTAGGTTTTCATTTTCCACCAAAGTCATGAGAAGTTGCGATAACTGGGAAAAAGGTTTGTTTGGAGAGATGATCCATTCTGAGAAGTATTGCCACATCCCTCCACCCAAGATATGCATGTACGAGTTGACTGATCGTATTCAAGATTTTTCATTCATTGACTGCTCCAATAGACTTGCTGATGAGGCAGTTATTGAGAAAGCTTTTGGAATCAAGGAACCGTTTGTAGGTCTTGCTGATACCACACAGTTTACCTAATAAGAAAGAACATTCGATCGATTCCCTTATTCTGTTTATAAGCATTCTAAGGGTTATTCAAGCTATGATGAAGCTAAAAAAGCAGGGCATGAAATGATTGTTGATGTCAAGGACTCAAGACTCGACATTATAGTCAACAGAAATGAAAAGTTAGTTGAAGAGAGAAAAAAACTCTAAAAAGGACCAAGAGCACTAAATGATAACTTGATCGTTATATTCGTTGATGCCTTATCCCGCTAGAGAGCTCACTTCAAGATGCCCGAGACCATGAAGTTCTTTAAGAGCTAAGACACCTTGGAGTTTTATAGATTTCACGGTTACCACAAGAGAACCTACGAGAACGCGTTAATGTACTTATATGGAATGTCCGTAGATGATTTAGGAGGAGACGTCAGAGAAAATAAAAATCAATCAGTTGTAGAGTTCTTCAAAGAGTAAGGATATATTGTTGGGCATGCAGGAAATTTGTGCGAGTCAAATGTATTCGAACAGGGTGATTGGATTATGAGATATATAAAAAATAGCATCGCAGATCATGAGAGTCTTTCCCACGCTTGCGACCCCCACTATCACAACCCAGAAAACAGTTTCGGTCCATTCTAAGGTCCATTCTCAATCGTGAGAAGATGCATCTACAAGCGTGACACATTTGAATATGTCACTGATTTCGGCAAGAAGTTTATGTCTACCTATAAAAATGAAAAGAAAGTCATGATGCTTGACTTTATTGACTTCCATGAGGGTACTGGCGAAGTGGTGAACTACCTAGACGCCCCTCTTGCCAAGTTTTTGAATGAGATTTAAAACGAGGACACCACAATCATGCTAATGAGTGACCATGGATTCCACATGGGAGGCTTGAAGATTGCAGTAGCAGGCTATGAGTACACCACTGAACTCCTGCTACCTGCCATGATGGTCTCTAATCTGAAGGGACTCACTTAAACATAGTAAACCAACATCGAATACAACTAACAGAAACTAATCACTCATAAAGAGCTATTTAATTTCTGGAAGTTCTGGGCTTCTGGGAAAGATGACCACGATCTCAGTTTTGTCTCAAAGATGCCGGACGACAGTGAAACTTGCCATAAAATTGGAGAATTCTGCAAGTGCCAAAACTTTCAAAGCACCCCACCAGGCCACTCTTCACTTTGAATAAGAATATTAATATACGTTGATGCCTATAATTTATTAGTATTCAATTCTATCAATTTTTATACTAATGGGGTTTTGGGGTTTTGGGGTTTTGGGG